CCCTTTTCCCACACTTGTTTGCCTTCAAGATTTTGCCCCATCGCGCTGCTGTTTAAGCCTTCGGAGTCCTGGAGATGGATTGGGTTGAGATGGGAAAATGGTAGGCCATCTAGATAATCTGATCACGTGAAGCGACGCCAAGGTCTCACGGAGCATGCACCACTTCGCTCTTGCTCTACTGTTCCTCTCCGTGTATTGCTTGCCAATAGACGGATTGTCGTGGGATGATAGTGACGCTGAGGACTCCGAAGCGCTGTATCACGTTTTGGACGTTGAAATTGACGCGACCAAGCGGCAGTTGGAGCTTTATCAACAGAAAGCGGGACTCCTCAACAACACCATTAAACGGATAGAAAACAGGTACAAGACAATAAACTACACTGAAGTTGGCTCGATGTTTACTGATAAGCAGCAACGCCGTCCGAGGCCTCGCGAGTCTAAACAACTTTTCGGCGATTGGTTCGAACGTCAAGGCACGTTCAAGCAGTTTAGTAAGCTGGAATTGACGCAGTTGGTCTCCTTTCGACCAAATACGCCGCCAGCGGGGAGAAGGCGAAAGACAAATACCGACGATGAACCACCGCTGCAGCTCTTATTAGCACTGGATAGGGACTCAACAATCATGAGGCTCTTCCACCCGACCACATTTAAGCTCATGTGGCAACACTCACTAGATCTGCGATCATCAGGACACAAACACGTGTTCCATGCAGCTGATATGTACTTTGTTTCCGACCGCAGTGCGCATCTAGCTATTCTCTCGACGTCCGGCGATCTTGTGCTCTTCAAGTTACGGCTTTGGCTTAACCGTCGCCTTGTGGCGGGTGATTATCGACGACTGAAGCCCCTGAGAGAGCTAGATGAGAAGCATCTCCAATGCCCAGCAGGTGAAGACAGTCTCCACGAACTTCATGTAGATGCATCACAACCGCCATGGGTGCAGCTATCAACGCCAACTATGACAGCCCCTGGGAACTATCTTCACGTCGATGTCGAGCGTGTCTTCGGAGCTGCTCTCAACCAGGAGTGGCAATATGGTCGAGGTAAAGTGACAGTTGTGTCATTGTATTATCGTGTGTTTGTGGTCGCAGTGGACAGCTACGGCCGGCATCTCTCGTTTTACCATGGCGAGAACGGTAGCTTCATTGAGGATATCCACACACAGGTCACTGCTCATGATAGTAATGTTGTGCAGCTTGAACCTATTCAAAGTAGTAGAGGATTAGCGGCGCTAGCAACGCAACACCGAGTATATATCGTCGACACTGCAGCACCTCAGTCAGCCCCAGTAGTGTGCGAGGCTCCTGGATGGCACACGCTCTCGAGCATTGCAGCGGATCCACTGCGACCGACCATCATATATGCCGGAACTTCAACTGGGCGCGCATTGGTATACAAATTACACAACCTGGGAGCCTGGAGACAGCGACCTGATATAAGTGAGACAGAAGCTCGTGGGCCAGTAGTGTGCGCTTTAGTAAACCAGTTGATGCCTCGCCAAACACGTTTCCCTTCCAATTTGCCAGCCTTTGTGCAGACACTGCCCGGGTTTCTCGTATTGGGGACTGGTCCCCATTTGGCGCTGTACCAACTGTCTGGAAGTAGCGAGGAGAGAAAGCCAACATATCTATCGGAAAACGCGATGGAAGACTCGTTCGAGTTGGAAAGGGGATTAACGCAGATACTGAGCATTAGTGTTGCCAAGGATCTGATAGCACACTCAATTGGCTTTGCTGTGCTGGGTTCAAAAGCTGACGGCAGTCATCATCTCGACATCTACGAATCGAGAATTCCCCCTCCTGGTACCAACTTCGATCTAAGCTGGATACGCGTGCCTGCCATGATGGTCTGCGCATTAGCTGCGATGTTTTGGCAACAGAAAGATCAGCTGGTCATGCACGAGGAGAGGAAAGTGCCAGAACTGGCAGGTCTGTTAGGTGGGCGAGGCACGATGAGACGTGGTACCGGTAAAACTGCGATTTATTGACATGAGAACAGCTCAGAAATAAGAAATGGCTGGGATACATGTAGGATTCCAGAAAAGTAAACTGTGAGCTGCACATTTTCCCAACAAGAAACAGTTAAGGGAAATGGTCAATTAAGCGCCGTTTGCCAATTAAGCGCCACTCTCCATTTTGGTCTGTCATGTATCGGTTTCCACTTTTACCTCTTCCTATTCGCTAATACGTCATAAGTACGAAGACCTGCATATTTTCATCCGAAAATTTGGCGGGAAAGCGCCAACATTTTAGCGCCACAACCATTCAATCCCCAGCTACCATGACGAAGCCCAAAGGACGTCGGAGCTATACGACGGAGCTAAAGAACGAAGTTGTTGCTCGAGTTCGAAGAGGCAAGACTGTTGCAGAAGTTTCTGCTTCTTCAGGCGTTCCTGAGAGAAGGATTCGCGAATGGAGCACGAAAGTCAAGCAAGGAAAGTCGCTTGAGTCGGCACGTCCAGGAAAAAAAACCTCTTTTACCAGCAGAAGCGGATTAGCATATATATGATTGGGTGGTTGGGCGACAGCTCGGGGGCATCCTGTCGACCGGGCTGGAATTTTGAGGAAGGCAAATGCGATTTCGCTACTCGTGTGTGGCAAGAGCGTCAGCGATGGATGGTACCGTCGTTTCCTGGAGCGTAATCCATCGTTAACGCCACGGATTGCTCAAGCGCTGTCGCTGAAGCGAAATTGCGTTGTGAAGGAAGATCTCACTACGTTGTTCAATAACCTGGCGAAGCTGGTTATTGAGCACCGTCTGGATAGCTCTCGTGTATTTAATATGGATGAAACGGCTTTTTAAACCCGGAAAAAGAGTAAAAAGATGGTAGTTGTACGTGGTTCCTCCAATGTTTGGTGTACAGACCCATCCGTCAACTTTCATCTCTCTATTGTCGCGTGTGGAAGCGCTGCCGGCTTCGTGGTACCGCCCTCATTCATCCTGCCTGGCAAAACGGCTCAGTGGGATATTCCGGAGGCATGTGATGTTGCTGGGGCGTCTATTACAACGTCGCCGTCGGGATTTATCAGCGCGTATTTGGTCCAGAAGTGACTACAGGCTTTTGCCAACTCCGTTCCTAGCAGCGTGCAGCGACCCATCCTGCTGGTTCTAGACGGCTGCGCGTCTCACTATTCCGCCGATGTGATAGACGTAGCTACAAGTTTGGGTATTCTGCTGGTGCTGTTACCACCAAACGCTACACATTTGCTGCAACCGTTAGATGTTGCCGTCTTCGCGACACTGAAAGACAAGCAGTGCAACCTTATAAATGAGGTCGTTGAAGAAGACGACGAGGGATGTTATTCTATCGACAAAGTGATGGCTATTAGGCTGGCTGGTATGGCATGGAAAAGCGCCAAAATTGGCCGAAACATCAAAGTTGGGTGCAAGACATGCGGAATATTTCCAGTGTTACTGGTCAGTATGACCGAACGTTTCCAAATTTACAGCAAAAATGGCGCTCCGCGCCATGTCCATCTTGCATCGTGGCTGCATGCTAAACCGGTAGTAGAGGCTGAAGTTCTCATGCTGCCTTCGCCGCCAAAAAAGACGAGTAAACGCAAGCGAGTATCTGTGGGAGGACGATGGCTAACCCATGAAGTGCTTACAGCCAGCAAAAGCAATGCCAAAGCAAAGAGACAAAGGAAACGAACGGCAACTGAGACCGCAAACGCACAGGCTCACGAAGCTGTACTCTCAGTCGTTGTGTAAGGGAACAAAAATGATGTTAGTTTGAGTTTGTAGATATTCTTAGAAATTGCAACACTTACCATTTTAGTGCGGAGAATTAACGGCAACGAGCGGACTCGAACCCGCGACAACCCTGCTCCCCGAGGGGCCCTCAATAAGCTGGCCGTCTTAACGACTTGCGCTGTCAGCACTTAACATGAAACTGGGATCAGCTCAAATTTGGTCTTTCACCAACAGTAATATATATACTGTTTCATTTTATGGTAGATCACAAATATCAACACTGAGAGTAGACCTACACCTTTGTTTGGCAAATTTTCGCGACTGGTTCCTTTGAGTGAAATCAAGGTTAAAATCGGCGCTTAATTGGCAGGAGGTGCAAATTTGTGGACATCACAGCACCTTGTGCTTTTAACGCGTTTTCATTTGCTAGTAGATGCAAATATCTCGAAAAAATCGAGGAGGGAATGGGCTTTCTGAAACTGTTTGCATTTTACCCCTTTTCAAAGTGGTTGCTGAGGAATGATCAGAAATATGCACAGCTTGTGACACGGCGCTTAATTGGCCATATCCCTTAAGGACAAAAAAGAGGACCAAAAGTTGATGACTTGTTTCGGGTAGATGCTCCTGTGAATGTACATAGAAATGTATCCCTGTATAAGCTCGCTACAACCATACTAGCAACTCTTTATTAAACCCACGCATGAGCTAGGTGTCTGGAATGACTTTCCGGAGAGTGTTTTCTCCTTAAGTTAAGGACAAAGTCGTCAAATTCAATAGTATTATCAAGTATAATTTCGATTCCATACAAAGTGGCGTCGGGTGTCTTAACTGTCATATCAGACAGCTTGCCCCGCTCGAATTTTGTCCTTAAATTGTGAATTCCGGTCAAATTTGATGCTGGTCTATGGGAAGAATCACCTCTTTCAAAAATCAAGCTAAGCTTATTTGAAGACGACACAGTTACGGATGGTACCCTGTCGCTCCATTTAAGTTCGATGTCGTACCTAATGTGAGCT